CTAGCATAGCTTATTAACTAAAGATCATATTTAACCAAGTTTTGATGACTTCTGATCCTGATCAAGAATACATCAACTTTATAAGGTCGGAATTTCTTCCTTATATCTGTTACTTTATTTCCCACGAATACAACATACCCTTTACTCTTCGAGTAATGGTGAGAATAAAATCCGGAGAGAAGTAAAAGGACTTGAGAGGAATGGCTTCTGTTGCCGTACTCCAAACAACTGGCATTACTATCCGCACACACACATACACACGCATAAGGACTTGCAGTTGGTCTACCTCTATGTCCTGGTTGCCATTTGGCTCTAATGCCGTTATTTAGTTTTAGCATACGAGCAGCTTTTAAAGGTTATCTCATTTCGGCCATTCTTTTGTGTTTTTGTTTTGCGTTGCCGGTGAAAAAAACAATAAAATCACAAAAAACAACATCAAATCCCCTCACAAAAATGAAAATAAAATAGCAACCGTAAAAGAAAAGGAAAAGCTTAAAATGCAAAGCGCATTCAACGCAGAAAAAATAGATGTATGTGTAAGCACACGTGTGCAAAATGCATCGTTATACACCTGTGCGCGTTAGGGTTTTTGCATGTGCTGACCGGCTTTTGGTTTCGGTTAGTGTGTGAGTGTGTCTCCTTGATGCTTGTGTATTGGTTGGCGGTGGAGTTTCACAATTTTACTATAACCGTTACTTTGACAACCGGAAAATGCTCGAGGCGTTGCCAGCCCTAAAATTGGCTAGAAGAAAGCTTTTTAGGATTTGTAGAGTTGTTTCCTCTAGTATGTTTTCAGGAAGCTTTGTCTTGACGCTGATACCGGCTCTTAATTTAATAAAGCATTTAAACTGGTTCTTAAAAAAAACAATCCATTAGATTAATTTTAATAATCACTACAGTCTTTCAATGACTTTTTGAAGTAGCCTAAAGTTATACTATAGAAAAAAAAACGTTGCATACTTATAAACACCTTTATAAGCAATTCTTTCGGTAGTCTTGTGTTAAATGCAATTTCCTTAATGATATTAGTTTCACTATTAATTTGAAAATACCATATTTCTATTAGTTCTTATATATAATTGCGATACCTTAACTGCTTTATTCCCGTGTTAACTAAGCGACTATAAGCTAGTGCAAGGTCACCTTCTCGTCATGCAATAAAGCGGACAACAAGTAAATATCTATGATCAACTAAAACCTTAATTGGACATAAATATTGACAGGAAATGGATAAGGTTCCATTGGATACCTTTTCGTAATGGCCATGTTAGCTTATTTCATTTTATCTTACCAACTCCGCTCGGAAATCACTTTATAAGCTCTATTGGAAATCAAAGCGTAAACTTTGTTCAATTTTGTTGTTTGTTTTTAATGACAACAGATTGACAACGCAAAACATAAACAACGGCTTGAGCTATAACAACACAGTTAATAACACAAATATGCAGGGAAAGCAACCCTGATTCCAGCCCCCCTCCCCTACCACGCCGGATGGTTCTTCCCCTAAAGCGTTGCCAATGTCAACCGTCAAGAACACCCCAACAAGCCTTACCCCCTGGAAACTCCATCCCATTGTCTTCGGCGTTTTCAATGCCGGCGCACATAAAAATTCCGGCTACGTTTACCGTGCGGGCTACGCTTATAAACAAAGTTTGTTAATAATTCTCAGCCAACGGACGCGGAAAACAGTCTCTCATCTCGCGTGTGAAAATAAAGTCAGTTTTAAATCGTTTAGGATGCGGAAATCACTTGCAAAAGCCTACAAGTACGAGTAATACCGCGTCTTAAAATCAATTTCCTGAACAATTATTGAATGCTTGTCTATGGACAAATGGTTCGGGGAGAAACGTCTCTGGCTGTTTGGTAACCATCTTCCACTTCTGCCCAGAAGGTAAGTCACATTCGGCACATTGCATTGCATTGAATGGCAAAGAGAAGTTCTATCAAAACAGTCCTTCGTTGTTTTGGTCTAAACTTGAACTTGAAGATTGGCGCGAAGATAAAATATTGGCCCTGATGTTGTTTTGACTTGACCTTAAGCCTTGCCGATAACCTTACGGTGAATTCCGTCTGGAAATCGTTTGTATACGCTCTGGATATTTCGTTTGCAAGCCAACATTTAGATATCTCCTTTGAACGACCAAAAGTGACAGTTTAGAGCTACTCAACTTACACAAAAACTTACCAACAAGCCACAGGACCGAACGAAGACAAAAACTCCAATCAAATTGAAATTCAATCAAAACGAATATGTGTGCTCAGAAAAAGAACCGAAATGAACAAAAGGAAGCAGAAGTGAAATCAAGTACAGAGACATCAAATTGCATTGAAATGCGTTCGATGTTTGGACTTAGCCCCCATAACCCCAACTCCCCGCTTGCAACATCCACGCTTACCATCCAATTTCTGACAGGCCACACAAGCAACTCGAAAGGAATATTGCATACTTATGGCAGCGGATGATATAGCGGTTTTTAATGCTTTTCCTCCGTTTTCGGCACATGTCAACGCCATTTGCGCTTCTGCTTCAAGGGAAGCGAAAAGAGAATTCGGAATAATAGATAAAAATAAGGGAATCATTGTTCTGATGGAATACATATATTTGACGAACTAATTTTATTCGGTGCGATGAAATGGGGGTGAAAGAAAATAAATGTTTACCAGACTGGAAAAAACAATGATTTAAGTCAAATAAATATGCACCATAGTCGAAAAAAGAATTCAATATTTTGATGAACACTTTAATACAGATTTACTGTCAAACATCCATAACTCAAACTACTATTAGCCAACAAAAATATGAAAATAGTGAAAAATGTGAGTTATAGAATAAATTGTATGAGAATTAATACACTCAATTGCCAATATATCTAGTTAGACTTATAGAGACTACGAGTTAGGAAAGTTCGAGTTACGGAACCAAACTTTTATTATTGATCATGATCATCAGCCAACCCTATTAAGTTATATCCAATAGACGTATGAACTTTTATTATTGATCACGATCATAGGGCGACTCGATCTGGCCATGTTCATCAGACGTGTGATCTTAGAGATCTAAGAAACTATAAGAGATAGATCATTTTAGATGCATATTTTAGAAATGCCTACGCAAAACAATTTAGAGATATTGAGATATTGATGATAGAAGTTTTAAGGCGTTATATATTTATTCGATATAAATCTATCGACATAATTAAAACGACTAAGAACAAAAGCCTTCATATGGTCAGTGGAATGCCATTTAATAAATTGTAGATAGCGCTGGCGTCATCAGTGGCGCCATCTGCACCTTGTGGTATGTAATTATATCGAAATGGGTGTAGACTAAAGAGTATCTGATGATCGAGGCACTGGTCTATGGCGTTCCTTCTTGTTTTTCAGTACTTTCAACCAAAATTACATTTAATAAGGAAAATTTTCTAGTGCAGGTAACACAAACATCGTGAAAATAACATTCCTCGATCTAGGCAGACTTGGTTTCGATTCACGATTTAAGTTCGCCAGCTGGGTATTCGCTATTGCTGGCAATTGACAGTCGCTCTCATTCCCACAGTGAATTCCCAGCTCGAATGAGCCCTTCTCACCTAACATATTTGAATCCCCTTCGAGTCGTTTCCTTTTGCCCGGCTTGAAGCACTGATTTCGTGTGCCTCACTGTGGCATGTGGCAAATTCTGGTTTGGCAAGCCCCTAGATTCTCGTCTGCCTGCCTTTGCAACTCTCACTTCTCGCATAATGCGCCTGGCTCATTTGCATGTTTCTTTGGCTTTCCCCAGCCACATGCTTTTGAATCCAAAAAAAAATAATCTTAAACAAAGTGAAAAAGCATTGCCGACACGAGACACGTCAAAAAAACAGAACCGTTTCTTTTTTGCACCTGTCTGAGAACGAGAATGTCACTCCATGCATAAAGTATTCATGATGTCCGTTGCATTCGAAATCATGTATCGATAAAATAAATAGACGGGAGACCGTCGAAGTGAACCTTAGTCATCCTGGGACCCTGCAACCGTGCGAACCTTTGGCTACGTGCAATGTTTCACAGCTACTCGTACTACTTGCCGCAATCCTTTCAGAACTCGTTCCTCTACCGCCTCATTCAGAAGATCCAGGTGTGCAATGAGCCGGATTTAGTTGAGGCCAGGGAGTACAGGTGGGTCGATTAGCTCGGTTCGTGGGCCTAATTAGCTTTGCCAACTTTTTGCGGAATGAAAGTGAAATAGTGTGCAAACAGCAAAAACCAGTGGAGAGGAGCAACTTTTTCCCAATGACATTTGAGTCGGCTGGTGTTGCAACGGCCTTGGCCTTTAATTTCACACGCATATGGCTCTTCCGCCCTTCGACCCCCTTTTTATTCGCCCGTAAGTATGCAACGCTTTTTGCACAGACAGCGCACAAAGTTTCGGTCGCTCGGTGCGTGTGTGAGCATTTGGCATTAATGGCTTGTTATTTATTGCATTTTACGCTTGTTTTCCCAAAAGGCCACGTCAACACAACCCATGCCACCAACCACGGTGTATTTTTATGGCCAAAAGGTTCACGGACTTCGCAAGGCAACGTTGGGGTTTTGCAAAACAACTTTTCCTTGCTTGCCAAATTATTTCTATTTTTGCTAATACACATACTTTGGAAATACTGTATACTACCTAGGAAATTTTCATATTCACAAAGAATACTATAATGGAAGTTCTGTTCAAAAATATCTTAAAGTTATTTATAATAGCTAGTTATCCATTTCTTGATTTTTCTAAGGGCGTTTACCGAAATTCAATGTTGGACAACAATAAAATATTATCTAAATGGTTTTAAAAAGCAATCAACTTTAAATAAAATCCAAGATATCAAATTTTAAACATTAAAAATAAATTGTAACATAATTGACCACTTAAAATGAAATTAATAAGAAAGAGTTAAAAAAGTATCAATTTAATCATACAGTAGCCACACCTCCCCAATAAATTTAAATCCTCAATTGTTAATCTATTCCTACAAATATGTGTTTCTCATTTTCCGGTAATATCCATCATTCCATACAACTTTCACATAAAATAATAATCCTTCCCACACCATTACCGGGGGTCAAAATCAGAAAGGCAAACACACAATAGTCCCGATTATAGAATAAACTTCAGCTGGGAATCGTTGACCCCAACATCAAATGCAAACATCATGCCAACGACATGAAGAATACATTACTATACAGTGCAAACAACTACATAGAACAATTAATAAAAAAAATACAATCAAAAGCCACAAGAACCTAGAACAAAGGTAAAATCAAAGTGGGAAAAGTTAAAGTGCTTTCGCGGGAAACAAAAGCTGTCAAATGTATAAATAGGCAACCAGCCAGGTGGTAAAAGCGGAATGGGGTCGTCACGAGTTTTCTGTAATTATGCAAATTGAATCGAAGAAGTCAGTGGGGGGCACCCATCGTTCGAAAAGGTGAAACATCAGGGAAATCGACTTACAACAAGGCATAAAAAACGAGGGATCCTGACTAAACATATCCCCTCATTTATACCTAACATATTACATATGCTTGGTAATTGTATCTAATTTATTTCTGACGCTCACCTTCGTGTTATTCCCTGCATTTTAATGCATATTTAATGAAACACGCAAGAGCCAAACAAACAAAAACACAGCAATCAAAGTCGCCAACGGCCAACATGGCGTATGTGCAATGTCCGTCGATGCAATCGAGCGCCCACAAACTCCGGTTCTCTCCAAACACGGTTCTAACCAAAGGCAACTCAGTCGTTTGCCGGCTCTTAACGTCTTCACATCGTGTCGTTCTGTCAATAGCCTTCGCGACTTTTTGTTGGCCCAACTGAAGTAAACACGGAAGCCCGTAACGAAAACTAAATATAGAAATAAAGTGTACTGGAGAAAATTCGATGACACAATGAAAATGTTTGAGATTTCAAAATTGTTTTCATTGCGAAGGTAGGACAATTAACAAATAGTGTGAAAATCAAAAACTAAAGCAGTGACAAATAGTTTACAAATATTATAAATGACTCAACACCATTTAAGGCTTTTAATTGCCTTAGTGGTATATCTTAAAATAAATACGTGGAAATGCATTTTAAAAGTTTGAACAACCAGATTAACAATAAGAGATCCTTGGCAAAACAATTAGCTACCCAGAAATGTTAACGTAACACAACCAGGGAAAGCTACCCCTAATCATGTTATAATTGCACCGTGATCCAAACAATAATAAGTAATAAGGACCCCAAAAGAAACCCACCCCAAAGGCAATAACGACCACCAAATTGCACTGCTGCACCAGTTAAGCCATAAAGAATCCTCCAACAATCTATGTCAAAGAACCCAGTTCCCAAGAACTCCGCCAGGTAACCCCAAAAAGTGTGGGGAAAGCGCCGAAAAAAACCCAAAGAAGCACACCTTGAATGTCTTCCGGTCGACGCTGGGAAAAAAACAACAAAAGGGGAGAAACTTCTTGAAAAACTTTGGGGCAACTGCGCATGGATTTGGTTTTGTTGTGGTTTTTTGCTTTGTTAACTTTGGTCGCATTGCTATGACATTGGCTAGTGGGGTGGAATCGACCCGGGTCCTCGGAACTAAGTCCTGAGAACCAGGGAGCATTCCCCTATTCAGTGGTTGGTTGTCAGTCAAAACATACGTCCGTTCTAGCGGTCTATTCATTCAAATAATTATTGATCGACGGGGCATAGATGAAAATTTGGCGCATGGTGTGTATCGTAGAGTTAACCAAATCTTTTCCAAAAATAAATCCAATTCATCTGCAATTCAATACATAAATTTAGTGGCAAATACGTCAGATTTTAGCCAGATGGGTGCCTAGGTAAGTCATCTGCTTGCTACCTTTTCGGTGTCCTGTGTTGCCTTTATTTCTTTGTGCCACCTGCCACCACCACACAAATATTTAATTGCATGTTATGTTTATGACCTGCACACATGTTAGAAAAGATGCAGAAAGGCCTCGTACAGAGTTCAGTTACCCCGGCTTTGTTGTTGGCATTGAACTGTCAACTAATGGAGCCTCGACCAGTAATGCCAATTTCAAAGAAACAACACTTTTCCAAGCCCATGGAGCAAAAATCGATTAGGTTTTCGTGCTCCTGTTAGGAAGTTAATTAGCTTTCGTTCCGTATCTACTAGAAAATGAACAATCACCTTGTTGATTTACTTTACTGTAAATAACTAACAAAGACTTGGTAAAAAAAAATTGGTTTGACTTTATTTGAGGTTTGTTGAAAAAACAAAAATTTTACATTGCATGTTCTAATCGAAAATCTTTAAAACGTTTTACATATTAATTATGGTCTTAAATGTTTTTTTAATGTAGTCAATCATTTGAAATTGGTCTTCCCGAACCTTACATATTATGTACTTGGCAGAAAAAAATCGATTTACATTTCGTGCTTATGAGTTCAAAGGTAATTATTAGGGTTCTCTATCTAATGACAATAGATATCGATTTATTTTACTCCACAGAAAAATTAATTCAAACTGAAAGCAAGAAATGAAGCTAACTTTGGCAAGCAGAAATTTCTATTTCAGAGCTTTCCGATTTTTAGAAAACTAAAAACGAATTATAGAAATTTAAAGATAACGTTCCACTTCAATTTACTTCCGTATAGGCTTACCGCAAACAAAATATAACGGTCTTTGTATTATTTTGACATTAATTATCCGATCGTTTCTATGGAGGCTATATGATAAAGACGTCCGTTTTTTTCATTTTATTCAAAATTCTGAAATAATAAAGGAACGATATTATTATGTCAAAAACACCAAAAAAAAAAAAAATTTTTATTATTCCTATGAGAACTATAGGATATTGTTGTCCGATCCGGCTTTTTCAGACTTATATACTACCTGCAATAGTAACATTACTTTTAGGAAGTTTTCATCGCGGTAGCTTTAAAACTGAAATACAAGTTTGTGTAGAAACGGACAGAAGAACGGACAGACGGACGGACAAACGGACGGACAGACGGACATATCTCGATCGACTCGTCTAGTGATGCTGATCAAGAATATACAATCCTTCACTGCGTTGCAAACTCCTGACTGAAATCATTACAGAAGTACTTTAATAGCCACAGTGAACATCTCTAATAACTTTGCACAACTAAATCTAAGGTTTGATAGTATCCTTAAGCACTTAAATTTTTTTTACCAAATATTTTCCCCAAATTTGACCCTTATTTTTACGTTTTAAATAAATGTACTCATTCTAAACGTTTTCTCATTTGTTTTTTGTTTCATTCCATCGAAATCAACTAACCAAATCATACCGAATTCGTGTAACCAAACCTTCATAATGTTCTGGACATCCTATGAATAAAACTTGTTCAAACTGAAAACTTGTAAATATACATACACCTAAAAATCATAAAACAGGTATTGAAATACCAGAACGAAAATCACTCCATACTCGTATACACTCGAATGCAAGTCAGTCCCTGAGATCCCACATGTGTTCGTGTCTGAGCTATCAAACAGAAAAATTTCTAAACATTTTATGTGCTCAATGCAAAGCAATGCGACGTGCAAACATCAAACGTGGTCAATGTTTGAGCTTAAGGTAAACTCCACTCGTAACTCAAACTAAATGTTAGCCGTAATAAAAATGGGAATTCCGGACTAACTCTTCTTTGTAAACTTCCTTGCAGACCACAAGGTAGCAGCAAAATGGATCGCTACGAGAAGCTCAGTCGGCTGGGCGAGGGATCCTACGGTGTGGTCTACAAATGCCGGGATCGGGAGACGGGCGCTTTGGTTGCGGTGAAGAGGTTTGTGGAGTCCGAGGACGATCCAGCCATACGAAAAATTGCACTGAGAGAAATTAGGCTGCTGAAGGTAAGTGTGAACTGTTTGCAGATCCCTGGCAAATCGTGGGTATCAGAGAGATTGGACGGATTTTTAACCTTTGACAATAATATAAGCCAAACATTTTTTAGAATTTAAAAACTAACTTTTTAAATTGATAATTTATGGATAAATGTAATTGGGTTAGCTAAGATCTATGATATATATAAGGCTTTTTTAAATCACTTTCTAAAAAAAATAACTTTAAAAACATTTTACTGGTTTCAAACGTAAAACAGTTTCGTAAAAACTCATTTCCTGGCTTTCTTTCATTTTTTACAATTTCAAATAATTTTGCAATATTAAAAAACAGTGTAAGGTTAGTTGGTTGTTTGTTTACAAATTTTTTTACAAAATTTTGTATTAACTTTGAGATACACTTAGAGAAAAAAATTGGTATTAAATATTGAATAAAACCGATACCAGTTACCAGCTGCAGTAATCTTAATACGAAAATATTCATAAGTCTTTAAAATAGTTGCAATTATAAACAGCTTGTAAAACCATTTAAAGAAAAATTCACTGCATAACTATTTTAAATGTTTTTTTAATTTATTTTGTTTTTTTCACATTGAAATGGATTCAATCCAATATGAAATGAAAGCGTATTTATTATTATTACTATAATTATTTTCTGGCTTTGGTTTAATAATAATTTTAGAGTTAATCTTTAAAAAAGGTACGTTAAAATGTCAGGTAACTATCTTCCGAGGAAAAAACTGATACTGATTGAAGTTTCCACCTTGCAGAACCTCAAGCATCCGAACCTGGTCTCCCTGCTGGAAGTGTTCCGACGGAAGCGTCGCCTCCATCTGGTCTTCGAGTTCTGCGAGCTGACCGTGCTCCACGAGCTGGAGCGCCATCCGCAGGGCTGCCCGGAGCACCTGACCAAACAGATATGCTACCAGACCCTGCTGGGCGTGGCCTACTGCCACAAGCAGGGCTGTCTGCACCGGGACATCAAGCCGGAGAACATCCTGCTGACGGCCCAGGGGCAGGTGAAGCTGTGCGATTTCGGCTTCGCCAGGATGCTCAGTCCCGGGGAGAACTACACGGACTACGTGGCCACCAGGTGGTATAGGGCGCCGGAGCTCCTGGTGGGTGATACCCAGTACGGCACCCCCGTGGATGTTTGGGCCATCGGTTGCCTCTTCGCGGAGCTGGTTCGAGGTGAAGCCCTTTGGCCGGGACGAAGTGACGTGGACCAGCTTTACCTGATCCGCAAGACCCTTGGCGATCTGCTGCCACGCCACATCCAGATCTTCGGACAGAACGAGTACTTCAAGGGCATCACGCTGCCGGTGCCGCCCACGCTGGAACCGCTGGAGGACAAGATGCCAGCCAAGTCGCAGCAGAACCCATTGACCATCGACTTTCTCAAAAAGTGCCTGGACAAGGACCCGGCCAAGCGCTGGTCCTGCGAGAAGCTCACAAAGCACTCCTACTTCGACGACTACATCGCCAAGCAGCGGGAGCTGGAGCACGTCAGCAGCATGGAGGCGGCCAATCTCCGCCAGCAGCAGCTCGCCTCCCAGCAGTTCATGCTGGCCACAGCGGCCCAGCAGCTCCAGACGGGTCCCGCCCAGGCGGCGGCCATCGCGGCGGCCCGGGATAAATCAAAGGTGCGAAATAAGACTTATATGATTTACAGTAAACTACTAATACTAAATACTAGAAAGCCGCGAATTCTTCAGACCAGAAGGATAACATGATCCTTGGGTAAACTGCGGATTCTTCAGGACAGGAGGATTAAATGATCTTTGGTTATATATTTCAAGTACTAACTAAAAACTCATCAAAAATCGCAATAACATGTATGTCATGCATCAATGTTTCCATAGCGATAACTGATGGATTTTTTATTCAGTATTTGAAATATATAACCAATAATCATTAAGTCCTCCTGCACTGAAGAATTCGCGGCTTACTAGTATTTAGTATTATACGAGTATACCAGTATTTTTAGATCATTTTGTAAATATCGAATTTTTAATAGTATATAGTTTGGAAATTTTATTTAATACGATATAATAATCAGATAGAAGTCTAGAAGACGCCAAATTAACATAGAGATCTTTGGTCGACCAAGAAGATCGAGATGCATGAAGTATTTTTTCATTCAGTATTTAAAATATATAACCAACAATTAGATATGTTGTTCTCCTTCTGAAGAATTCGCGGTGTATTATATTTTATTTGATACCGAATTTAATTGGTTAGTTCTCCTTTGCTGAAGAATTCGCGACATAGAAATTTTTAGATAACTTTGTTAAAATCGAGTTTTAAATGTATTTGTATTTTAACTTTACAATAAATATACTGTAAGTCATCAAAAACTCTCCTTTGTTTCCAGACTTCAAACACATCATTACCGCTGCTGCCCAGCACGCAGCATCATCACCACCCGCATCAGGATTACGTAAAGCTGCAGCCCCTGAATAAGAACGGAAACCTCCTTCATCGCACCGAGCATCATCTGCCCACAATTTGAACAGCATCTGTAATTAAGAAATGTCCTTGCATTGCAAACCATTTTGAGCAAAAATTTTCCCAAAACCTATATTATTTACTGCTGGGAATAAATGTGTAAAAGTAATCCATCAATAAATCACTGGGTGTAAAGTCAGTAAATACTTTGGTATTCATGCTACCGAACCAAACTGAATTAGTAACTAAGTCCAAAGTGCAATTTTCAACTGTCATCAAATAAAATATGCTACATAATGTTTTATTCCATAAATTTTCAATTTAGTTATTTCATGAGATTCGCAAATCACTCCAAGTTAATCTTTAATTCACTTTCCAGTTGAGTCCTGGGTCAAATCCTTTTCAGCTTTGCACATACACGCACATTGAATTAAAAATCCTTGCAGCATGTCTACTACTCAACCTGCCACATTCCTCTTCGAACTCTCAACGATTTCCACCTACTTGTTGAGCCTGCCCAGGATAACACTTTACATTTACAAAGCCAGGAGCGGATTTAGACTTGCGCCTACGCTATCGAGATTTTCCATGATTTCTATAGGAGTGGTGATATTTTACAATTTTAATTTGAACTGTTTTTGTACAATTTTAGCAAAAGTATTACATTTTCAAAATTCAAAATTTTTTTGAATTGGTAACTTTAATTGTAAAACATGCCCCTAAAATTCTGTGAACATTTATTTTTATTTTTTGGATTGTTAGTTTAAAACTTGGCTTATATTTTCAACAATCTATGACATAGGAATGTTATGTTTTCAAATAAGTTGAGGTGGGGCCAAACCAAAACCCTCAGTTTAAAAATCTGTTTTTACTTACAGGTAAAAGTATATATTTACTAACTTTTTCCAAGCAAGAAAGTGTTTTGTTAAGTGTATCAATTTATCTTAAAAGTGTTTACAAAAATCCGTACCTGAAGTATTTTGTTGTCGACAAAGTACAGTTTCTTGGCATTTTTACCACGTTTTTTGGCAACTTAATCCACTACTAAGCACACGGCAGATAATCAGCGACACGTATCGTCTTACGTGTATCCTAGCCGTTTACAAGAGACTTCGTTGATGTCCTTTGGAGACTGTCAGGAAAACGTTTACCTTGGAGAAGGTAGCAAAAGGATTAGTGAAGCTTACATAAATGTAGGGTTTATAAGGAGTAGCCAAGCTAGTAAATACAAATAGATAAAAAAGTGGAAAGTGCTAAAATCGTTATTAAGAGGGTGCCAAAAATCACAAATTACCAGGGCCTTGAAATTTCTTTAATCTATTGAACTTTCCTGTTAAAAATTTAGAATTGCACACATATGAGCTGCTTTATAAGTGATTTTAAAAACATCGAAATTTTAGTGTTATCACTTTTCTCCCAAAACCTAATCAAAGTTTAAGTTGTTTTCTAATAATTCAAAATAGTTCGTTAATTGAGCGTACTTAATACTTTTGCATGCATGCTTTGTTTTCAAACAAACTAACAGGATCAGTGCTGATTGACTTGGCAACGCAATTTTTTCCCAAAACTTTTAATTAAATTATTAAAAAGTTGAGCCAGCTGCAGCAGCTGCAATCCCAGTAGCATTAGAGGCAGCAGCAAATGGTCGGCAGTCAACAAAACTGTCAGCACATAACGCAGAAATCTCCTGAGAACAAGTCATGTCCATGTGGCCGGGATGTCTGTTGGCAGATATTCGTTGAAACGTAGACAAAGCCAAATAAAAAGTGGCACAGTATTGTTGAATTCCAGTCCCGAACTCCCCTGCCTTATCCACTGCAACTCATGGTCCATTGCCGGCGTCACCAATTGTTAAGCATTTGATTTTTGTCGTTCAACCAACACAAAGGGCCGCCAAGTATTATTCCCATCCTTTTCTGCAGCTCACTTGCCGTCTCTTTCGCTTTTCCGGTCGCTGTGCACTTTGTTGGGAATGCAGAAAGTGTAGAATGGGAAAAGCATTTGTAAGTCGAACCGGCCATTGAAGCATCCCGCTTCCTGGTCGAGGATATGCAAAGTGTCTCGCAGACAGTTGCATAATCTGTAGTGCCGTTTATGCAAAGTGTCCACCAAAAGCTCAGGCACCAAACCAGGGGAGATTGAAACTCTGGTCCTGGTGGGGAGCTAAGGATAGTGTTGAGCAAGGATCTCGGGATTGCTTGGCTCGGTTAAGTGCAGAAAAGAGGAATCGAAGACTTATTGAATAAGTAGATAAGGCCTTTTATGTTCATAGTGTTTGCCCGCCATTGGGGTTACAGAGTTTTGAAATGGTGATAAATCGGTATTCAGAGCATTTTAAATATTTATGAATACTTTTAGATGGAATTTTAGACAAAAAAATCTAGAACCCTAGAAGGCCTCATTTCCAGGACGAAATCAATCTTAAATGAATTTCTTTAATTTTGAAAATTTCAAAATTTCAAATGGGGGGGGGGGGAAATTTGAATTGACGCTTACGTAGATTTCCCCAGATGATATTTCTGTGACACCCCGCTATATAAAGCCAATATTTATAGGACGCAGTCGGTCTTAAATATCATTTGCGAAAGTTTTCAAATTCGTACGAATTGTGTTCAATCTACTTTTTAATAAAATGTGACTGATATTATAAAAAGGACCTTAGAATGTAATATTACATCCACAGTAATCAGTACCATCGGTGCATCTGATTTTCGGCGTATCGTCGATTCAGATCACTTTTACGCTGCACATCACCGCCCACTCCATTGAGGAGCTCCTTGGGCTGCCAGTTGCGGTGGACGAACTGATCGTGCAGGTGATCCTCGGATGTGTTCAGGGCCTGCTGCTGCCACCACTTCAACTGGGGCTGGGGATACTCCGGCTGCCTGGGCAGGACGGACACCACCGGCGGATGACGGTGTGGCCACAATCCCATCCTGCTCAGTCGCTTCTGCTCGTCGATATTTGTATCGTGCATATCGTGCATACGAAGCACCTGGGGCGGCTTTTCGGACTCCCTGGGATGACTGTTCCTCATAGCCAGCGGATGGAAAGGATCATCCCCATAGATCTCGCGATAGCGGGCACTCTTCACCAAGCTTATGATCTGGAACATGGCGACGCAGGTACAGGAATTGTAGCCCACAAAAACTGGGAATAGGAAAAAGTGAATTGTATTATTTGTTCCTCATTTCAGGGAGTTCAAGGTATCACTTACGTATATAAAAGCAGCCAGCAAGAGTAAGAATTATAAGATAGCCCAAGTTAATCTGCTTCTTCAGCATGATCATCAGAACAATGTGAAGAAACGTAAAATTTATAAAGTAAAAAAACTCGAAAACTGCCAGGGGAATCACAAACCACTTCCGTAACTAATAGGATTAAAAAATACAATAGTTATACAAAAAACAAATTTTTAAGGATCGCTTAGACACACCCTCAAAGCACCGTAAATACTTAGTATGGCAGCACCTATATGAGCATAGGCAATTACTTGAAAAACCGCGCATAAGCTTTCGGGAGCTATACATTTATAATAATACATAAAGTTTTTAAGTATTTCGAATAAGTCAAGAAAAGACACTCACAGTTTTGACTCCAACCGATGGCTTTTCTAACCCAGCTCTTGTCCCTGTATTCCGCATCGTGTTCGAACAAATCGATTAATGGATTAAAAAATTTTACACCAATCAAGAAAATAGTTATGCTCTGAGCAAAGGCTCGAACCTGGAAGGATTAAGACTTGATACTATTTGAAAAGAAGAACATTTATAGTCACTTACAATAGCCAGAATAGCTACGATAATGACTCCGAGTCGCACCGAGCAATAACACATATAAGATTCCATAAATAACATATTGAATTTGGTATTGCCGGTAATGGCGGTTCATAAATCAGAACTGAACTGAACTTAGAGAATGCGGTGATTCAGCTACCAACAAAAATCGGAGTAATTACCGGCAAGCAAATGACAAAACCATGTTCAAGATGACAATCTGAATACCGCGCGGTAATGGAGTCCATAGTCAAAAGCATTGAATTCAGGTTTGAATGGCCAACATCTATCATTCGTTGGCCAGATCCCAAAGAACATGCTACAAAATGTCCACGCTAACTGAAATTGTTGGCCCAGTTCGTCCTGCGACAACATGGTGCTCATGGAAAGCTACTTCTTTTGTGCCTCCGTGCGACTTGGTGTTTTGTGCATTTGCGTTTTTGCCGCCGTAAGATTCAATTAAAATGTTCAAGTCGCTTGTTATACCCGTTACTCGTAGAGTAAAAGGGTATACTAGATTCGTCGGAAAGTATGTAACAGGCAGAAGGAAGCGTTTCCGACCCCATAAAGTATATATATTCTTGATCAGGATCACTAGCCGAGTCGATCTGGCAATGTCCGTCTGTCCGTCTGTCTGTCCGGATGAACGCTGAGATCTCGGGAACTATGGGAGCTAGGCTATTGGGATTTGGCGTGAAGATTCCTGAGCTTCTTACGCAGCGCAAGTTTGTTTCAGTAGAGTGCCACTCCCACTCTAACGCCCACAAACCGCCCAAAACTGTGGCTCCTACAGTTTTGATGCTAGAATAACTGAAATATAATTATATATTTAACTGAAATGTAATGTTCTCATCAATACCTATCGATTGACCCAAAAAAAAGTTTGCCACGCCCACCCTAACGCCCATAAGCCGCCCACAAACTTCAAAAAATCGTAAATATGAATGTGGATATCTCGGAAACTATCAAAGATAGAGAATTGGGATTTCAGATTTAGATTCCGTAGCCTTATACGCAGCGCAAATTTGTCACGCGAATATGCCACGCCCACTCTAACGCCCACAAACCGCGAAAACCTGTGACGCCCACAATTTTTATGCTAGATAAAAAAATTTAACGGAAATGTATTGGTCTCGTCAATACCTATCGATTGGTTCAAAAAAAAATGCCATGCCACGCCCACTCTAACGCCCATAACGCTTAAATCTGTATACCGCCGGTAGGTGGCGCATTTTAATCTCGCTTTGCTACTTGCATATCTCTACTTAGCTGAGTAACGGGTATCTGATAGTCGAGGTACTCGACTATAGCGTTCTTCCTTGTTTTTAAACTAAGTACTCTTTACGCGTGATTAGGTAAAAAGTACTGTCTTTATGTGGCTGATATTCTCCGATGGAACCACTTTCCTCTTCTTTGTGATTAACATATTGGAAACTCACTACAAGACTAGCAATATTATAAGAGAATCGGCTGACTGGGTGGAAAAATGTGAGTTGAATTTATTAGGAAGTTCTCTTCCGACATAAAACTAAAAACAAATGATTAATCATTAAGCTATCAAAAAGTTTTTAAAGTAGCTAATTAAGAAAAACAAAGATTTAGAACTTTCAAACAAGTAAGAAGCATTTAACATTTTTGTCTAACCAGTTCTTTTTACTTTTTTAATGGCTTAATAGTTATGTCAACATTTAAAGACTTACGATTTATCCCAACCAGTGTATAAAGAAGAAAAAACACTTTAACTATTTCTTATATAAACTTTGTTTTCTATATTGCAGATCCCAAAGAGCTTATGACGTTTTTCCAACTTTACAGCTTTTGTCACATTATAACTTGTATTTTGGCAGCCTTAGGAGCATACAAAGTAAGCTATTCTCAGTTTAAAACTAAAAGCGGAGTATCTCAACCTCTTTATTTGTTTTAATTCAGCTGAAGAAGTACCACGTTATACCTTTGGCCGTCTTCGAGTGTATTTTCACAGTTCAAGTAGTAGTCATATCAATTATATCCCTTCGGATTGCCAGACAAATCGTTCCCTTGGCCACTTTAATCCTGCTTACTCTTGGTCTGACATTCTATGCAAGTAAGAAACCAAATTTTCGAAATACATTTTTCTAAACATATTTTTTTTAGTGCTTGTGGGGTACGATGCGTTGACGTTAATTGCCTTTGTGCAAATTATGTTTCTGGTGAGGAGTGAACGATACCAACGTCTTTATGGCACCGACCCCCTAAATCCAGTAACTGACGGAATAGATCACAAACAAACATCACCAAGTTATCCGATCTCTCAGCAACCCATAATTATTTATGTTATGCCCAAAGTAGGACAAAAATTGTGGGACGTGCCGCAAAAGAAATGGTGGCAGGACCAAAAAACTGATAGTCGCGTTCCACAAAAGCATCCACACGATGTGTCTTCGGATTTTTTCCAACGACAGGAGCTTTTATCAAACGTGTTGTTACGAAATGCCATTAATGAAGACTATTGGACAAAGAAAAAAGAGTTGGGATCTAGAAAAGCTTAGGACACCACTTAATTTGTACTAGTTGCTGATGATTATAATTTCATTACAAATATCATTAATAAAATAAAGTTTAAAAAAATTTAAGATCTAAGAACTAAAGGACACCTAGCATCATCAACATTTTATAACTATATAATAATGTAACCAAATATCAACCATTAAGAGGTCGAATATATTTCATTTATAAGCTAAATGACCCCATATGTCACGTCCTGCAGGCCTTGTTTTGTCCAAACAACACTCGATATTCGGGTTCGATTGTGGTTTTGATGAATTTCGTCATTTCCTTTGCGTATTGAAGACGAGACGAATCCTTCTTGCTGAATTCCTTAATGCCGGGACTGTGCACCAAAAATGCCGGATCTAAGACGTGGTATTCGTACCCCAACAGGCACATGGCAAAATTCTGAAATAGAGTATACGATGGTATCAGTAAGAATTGTGAGCTTATACTGTTATTAAACTTAGTTAAAGGTCCTTTAAGTGGTCGATTATTTTAAAGAATGTTTTCGTGGAATATAAAAAAAAAAAAAAACTATATAAGCATTTTAATGATTTTTTTTAAATAACACTAGTTAACAAAATTAAAAACCGAACATTTCTGAAAAAGAGTAGAATATGTGACTTACAACTTGTTTGATGGTAACATTTTTTTAAAGTATAATTTGTAGGTAGTTCCTATTTGTAGGCCTTAGGACTCCATCTTCAGGACATTTACCCACCTGTATGCGCTTGTTGGACTGTCCCTCCCAGGTAACCCTCTCATCGAAAAGTGGTTCAGTGTTATCGCTTACGTAGAACGGCTCCCAAGCTTTGAATTTGTTTTTGCGCAGAGTCTTGCTGAACAGAGTAAGCTCATGATCTTTTTCACTAGAACTTTGATTGAACCAAGCCTCCTGGCCTGGAATGATGTGGCATGTGGGGCAGACCTTTAAATGGAATATTTGTGCCTGTTTTTTTCGATAGAGGGCCAAAAGTTCGGACTTGTTGGCGGGAATTTGGACTCCAGTCTCGATCTCGAAGACCGGTAGAGGATATACCCTTCTCGGCTGTTTGGGGTCCAGGGCTAGGACACTGTGATTCTTGGCCACCATGTTCAGGAACTGATCTACGAAACCCAGACTGGGATATAGTTCGATGTCGCAGGCGAAGATGAAGTGGGTGTTGGCCGCCAGTCTGGCTATATTCCTGCCGACATTTATGGGATAGGTGAGGTTGGCCACCGCCTTGTAGCTTTCGTTGCGGGGGATTTGGGTGTAGGGCGGCGGAACCAGGGTTCCATTGGCCAGGGAGCATATGGCGGGCTGGCATAACGCCTCGGCCTCGTCATAGGGTACAAAACCTGGCATGTGCCGGTTGGAGAAGTACACGTGGAAGGTGACCCAGTCCTTGATGATCTCGCTGCCCGGCAAACAGTTTCGCACATACCGAATCGCATCCATTGTGGCGTTCAGATCATATCCGGGTGTATGAATGGCGAAGCTCACAGGAGCACGCCAACTGCAAATTGTATAAAATAAAGAAAAATTGCTAGATAATGATAATGCTTGACCTCGTTTTTCTATACTAAAATAATAATGATAATAATTAAGTCAAGTAATTACCAAGTTCCTTAAAAAGTTTTATAGCAACAAAACTGTTTCTCATAAACACACGATATGGTGGTATCTGAACAAGTATAAACCACAAGTATAAACAAGTAAATAAAATAAATATTTAATATTATTTTTTAGAGGTAAGTTTTAATTCAACTATATAAGTTTTTTTTGGGCTTTTCTCAAAAAATTTCTGAAATATTCGGATTTTGGAGAATTCCTATGACTGTTTTCTATAAATAGAAATTTTTGTTGAAATCGAAGGTGTAATCAGTTGACATTTTAAGTTGGCCGTTTCTTCTAATCTTCACTTATGTACAGTTGTGGTCAAAAAAAAGCAAGCGCAAATAGCTTAAAAACAACTTTTAAAGTACCTATTATTAATCTTAGCTACAGAGAGGTAAATAACCATATTTAAAAAAGAATTTTGATAAATTGTTAGTATAATAAGAAAAACCAAATCTATATGGCTTAATGGTTTGTTTTTTTAGTTCCGGGGTTAATATTTTTCCTTGAGCTGTATATAAAATATGAATCTGGTAGGCGATAACAAACTTTTATTGGAGAGCACTCACCGTGTGGCTACTGTTTCAAGATTATCGAAGAACGTATAGTCCCCGTTTGTGGTGTACGTCACCGATTCTGCGCAGCCAACTAGCCGACTCTTTCGGCCAATCACTAGATTCTGGAGCAACCAGTACTCCCCGTGCTGGAGTTTCTGGAAACGGAGCTGTCGGTTCCGGCACTTAAGCAATTCACGCAGTTCCCTGGTGCGCGGTGAGTCCTTTCGTAGGGTAATCTTATTTGGCTCTTCATTCTCCAGAAATCTTTTTTGACACGTGTCGTTAGTTAAAGATTCGACCGAATTGTGCCCACCGATTTCCGCAATCTTCTGAGCCTGATGCAAGTTCCTCCAAATTAGCAGGAGTGCTACACAGAGAATTATGAGGATTGGCCACCGTCGGATAAATTTTCGGTTGCCAAAGAATAAGCCCGCCATTCTAACCTTTGATTTGGGAATTCCTTTGTTCACCAGAAACCGTAATCAGCACACCTTGTTATGAAACGGTTATTAAACTGCAAGCAAAAAAAAAGCCAAAGAAAAAAATAACTATACATCCGTCATTAAAGCTCTGAACGTACTGAAATGGATTCACTAACGAAACCAAAAGCTAGTAAGGGGGCCTAATTTACCTTGTCCATTGTATCATCCCTAATTATTGTTGTACTCATCTGATAAGATCCCACATAAAGTGCTTCCGAGGTAAGGGATCCCTCGATGGTTTATAATGTTCTGATAATGGGGCTTGCCCGAATTGAAGACCTCCTTTCACTTGGTAAAATATCTTGATGTATATTTGTTGATAACCGAACATACGTACATATTTTTAGTTGCCTATGGTAAAAATAAATACAAAATTTATAGATCCACACAGTTCACACAGCTGCTCACAACTAACATGAAATTAATCTTAACAATCCACCTGATACTTGATTTTATGTGGATTGTTCAAGATTGGTAAGTACATATAGTTTTAACAGTTATATAGTGAAAATAAGTCTTTCGAAACATTGTTCACTTTTACTACAAATGTTATCTGAACTTTAACACTTCAAACTCAATTATTTTTTAAATATTTAGGTATTATTTGCATTGGAATACTCAAAGCACCATAAACGATTGTAAATTTGTTACTATCACGATTCAAACGCAATGCCCACTGTGACCCTCCAGTCGATGGCGAGTATTTGAAAGAGACTAAAGTGCCAATCCAAAATATCGGACCTACAGAAGCAAATCTACTACGTTCTATAGCACTTAAACGCTTATCAGGCAATGTCGTTGTATACTACAATCCTGTTGGAATCGCCGTTATCATAACAACTCATTTGCTCCAATCAATTGATAACACTAATCAACTGTTAGTGGTCTAACTTTTTTGCCAACAATCGACTTGGCTATTACCTGGATATCTGACTGAATCGATGGCGCTTACTTCAATCAATAATGTCTAAATAATTAGATTGCCTTAAAGGCAACAAAATTGATGCTTAGACACTATCTGTGTCTTGGCTTCTCCTAATCTTTGACAATTTGATTTTATTTCACTAAATATGCAGTTAACAGCGTGATTATAAAAACGCGAATTATTCAGAATATAGTAACCATGGATATACTTTTTGAATGCAATTTTTCCAAATGTAAGCGTGGATTTACTTGAAAAACCGCTTCATTAAAAATGTTGTGTAGGGCATAGTAACAAACGATTGATTTTTGAATGTCAATTTCCCAAAGTAAATATTTTTCAAAAGCCTAAAAGTAGAAAAATCTACTGAGCATATTCCTCTAACAGTTCGATGGTAAAATTCCAGTAGACTTAGATGTTACTTTTAAATGTTATGGCGTAAACCTTTTTATTTTTCACTTTTTTTCAGTTGTAGGGTAATGAGACGAGCTGATGAATACTTACATAAACTCCATGCGGATGCTAAAATGATTTATTTCTTCTTTTCGGAAGTTTAATTGAGTACAATGATAGAATATAAATTTAAATTTGGAGTTGAAAAAAAATATGTTCTTCAGTTCCGGGTACAAATTTGTTTAATTAAGTTGTTCAAACAAAAATCAATAAAAAATAATATTTTTTTATAAAAGTTTTTTTGTGCTGTGGAAAAGGAAAAGTAACGATAAAACGTCAAAAAAAAGGGAAAAAATGGTTGAGGTGATTTTTTTTTACAGATAAAAACATTAGAAAACTACAGCGTTGAACGTTATATCGTAGAACTAAATGCCTTTTTCAAAATAACAATCACAATAACAAAACATTACTTTGTAGACACGATAAGAGAAATTATCATAATTTTTAAAATTATTTCGAAATTTTCGCTTGAATTTCCAGTGGAAACATTCAAAATTCAAAATAATTTTCGCGCGACATAACGATATATTCTGCACTCCTTTGGCAATCGATAGACTTCACCGATTGTTGGAGTGGAATCGATTAACCGAAAGTGCCATCTCTATTATCAATTGTGTTTTGTTTACAGAAATTTAAAAACCTTTTCTGCCGTATTTACGTGATATTACAATGTCGGACAACGAGTACGAGCGATTCGAGATAACGGACTACGATCTGGACAATGAGTTCAACATCAACCGGCCCCGTGGACGCCAGAGCAGGCACCAACAGATCTACGGTGAGTTGGAGGTTACCACGATTCTGGTCAACTCCAATAAGTAACCCCCCCTTTTCACAGGCATTTGGGCGGATGACAGCGAGGAGGAGAGCGGCGGTGAAGGCGGGGGCACGCGGAGAGGACGGTCCGCCCGGAAGCCCAAGGATTACACCATGCCGGTCAGCTTCGTGGCCGGCGGCATTCAGCAGGCGGGCAAAAAGAAGAAAAAGGAAGTGAAGGCAAAGGAAGATGGAGGATCAAGGGCGGACCAGGACGAGCAGAGCGACGAGTCCACCGCCAGCGGTCGTCCAGCCTTCGGACAGAGCGACCCGGACAGCTCCAACAGCTCTGCGGAAGAGGAGAGACCCTCTCTGAGTCGAAAACCAATCAGTGCTCCCTTCCAACACCGCTCGCACATCTCCAGTGAGCGAAATGTGGGCGCCTGGGAACAGCATACACGTGGCATTGGAGCTAAGCTCCTTCTCCAGATGGGCTACGAGCCCGGCAAGGGTCTGGGCAAGGACCTGCAGGGCATCTCGCAGCCGGTGCAGGCCCATGTCCGCAAAGGTAGAGGCGCCATCGGTGCGTATGGACCCGAAACTGCAGCCAGCATTGGTGGAAAGCCCACCAAGAGCATCAAGGTGGATGAGGATGTGCGCGAAGCCAAGGAGTTCAAGGAACAGCTGAACAAGTGGCGGAAAGGAGGAACCGCTGGAGCCGCCGATCCTGTCGAGCGGCAGGGAAAGCGCTACTACTACAAGTCTGTCGAGGAGGTGATCGCCAAGGGCCACACATCGAGCCATCTGCTTTCGGAGAAGCTGAGCAAGAAACTGGGCAATGTCCCGGTGATCGACATGACGGGACCCGAAAAGCGAGTGCTGAGCGGCTATCACGCCTTGGGCCAGACCAAAATCACGCCGGAGGAGACGCTCTACGATGCCGAACCGACTGAAAAGGGAGCGGCTCCCGTCTGCGTGTTTGCCATGCCCGAACTGACCCACAACCTGCAGCTCTTGGTCAGCCAGTGCGAGCAGCAGATCATCGCCATCGACAACCAGGAGCGCGAGTGCTCCAGTCAACAGGCAGCTCTGGAAAGCGAACACCGAAAGCTGGAGGAGATCGTCCAACTGGAACGGAATCACATTCGCACTCTGGAGGAATCTCTGGACCGAGTGGAGCGGCTGAGCGAGAATCCCGATATGACTTTGCCTCAGGCCGAACTACTCTTTCGGGAGCTTCTCGAAGACTACGCTGCCGAGTTCCAGGAGTTCGGCCTGGCGGATCTTGCAGCGGGCGTGATTGCGCCTCTCCTGAAGAGGGAACTAGTCCAGTGGCAGCCGCTGGAGAAGCCAACGGAGCCCTTGCAGCTGATTAAAAAATGGCGCGCAATGCTGCAGAAAGGAGAGCCGGCGGAGCAGCAGCCTCGCAACGTCTTCGATCCGTACTCCTCGCTCATCTGGGCAGGGGTGATGCCGTCGTTCCGGGCCAGCATCGCCGCGTGGCACTCCAAGGAGCATCCGCCCATGGCTGCCCTGCTCGACGCCTGGGCCCCCTTGCTACCCAGTTGGGTTCTCGACTCGGTTCTGGAGCAGTTGGTATTGCCTCGACTGGTGGCCGGCGTTCAGGAATGGGATCCCCTCACCGACACTGTGCCCATCGACAGTTGGGTGCTGCCGTGGCACGGAATACTGGGCAGCAAGTTGGAGGAGGCCGTCTACCCGCAGATACGCAGCAAACTGGGCGTCGCTTTGCGCGCCTGGTCTCCGCAAGATCGGTCCGCTAGGGCCATGCTAACGCCCTGGCAGCAGGCCTTCCCTGAGGAAGAGATGCAGGAGTTCCTGCAGCGGCACATTGTGCCAAAACTGCAGGCCACTCTGGGCGAGTTCGTTATCAACCCACTGCATCAGGACCTGGAGCTGTGGCACCAGGTATGGGAGTGGCACGAGCTCATCGACCCAATGTACATGGCTCAGCTGCTGGACAGGCACTTCTTTCCGCGCTGGATGCAGGTGCTCGTGGTCTGGCTGAATCAGAGTCCAGACTATGCGGAGATATCGCGGTGGTACACCGGCTGGAAGAGTATGTTGAGCGAGGCACTGCTGCGCGAGCCTAGCGTCAAGGAGCATCTGCGGCGAGCTCTGGAGATGATGCACAGGGCCAGCGACGCCCTGCTGCAGCCCACGGTCACGCCCACGCCCCCACCTCCTGTGCCTCCGGCTCCTGTAATGATGATGGACCACCTGATTCACCCGCCCGCCCAGCTGGAGTTCAAGGAGCTCGTGTCGCAGCAATGCGCTGACTTGGGCATCATCTTCGCTCCGCTTCCGGGGAGAAGGGAGATGGGCAAACAGGTGACTGACTGGATATGCTTTCTTTTAAGTATTTGTCTTTATTCTAATTATAATTTCTATTCACAGATATATCGCGTGGGCAAGCTCTTTTGTTTCATCGATCGACACGTCTGCATGGTCAGCGATGGAAGCTTCAGCAATTGGCAGCCGATGGCACTGAATCATCTGCTGGAACGCTCACAAACTGGAATCCTATAAATTCGAATTAATGGTGTTTTAAAAGCAATGGTTAACAATTTTGTAAAATTAGTATCACGAGAAAATATAAGCAAATGTAACCATTTGCTTATAATGTAGATTTTGTTCCTTAACAATAATAGGCTCTTTACCATAGTTCATCCTTAGAGTTACTACATAAAATGTACATTTTATTCATATAAAAACAAAAAGAATAAAAATATATTTTAATTTTTTCATTTCCGTGTTTGAAAACAACGTATTTTCCGAATAAAAAAAGGTAAAAGGAAAAGGTAATAATAATGCTGATTTTTATAAAGTAGTATTTATTTTAATTAATAAAGACTTGTTTTAAAATTAACAATCAAGTAATAATAATATATAGTAATGTTTAATACATCGTCCAAAATCATTTTTAACATTTCAAACTCAATTAAAACGACTCTCAAAATTAAGTAGTGTTAAAAATAAAAAATGGTTTTTAAAATTCCTAAAAGCAAAAATACAATTCCCTCTGCCAGCTATTTTCAAATTTTACCCGCAATCACACCTAAAAAATTCCAAATCTGACGGGAAAAAGCGGAAATGACACCACTGAATAGAGCTCTGCTGTTTGACAACCGCATAAGGCAAGGGTTTCTCTGTTAGTTAACATTACATTGCAGAGTGACCGTTTGGAATATATAAAAAAGTCAAAATGGCGGTATAAATGGTCGAGGAAGCCACGGTCACACTGCTCGCAGCTGATTTTTCTTCAGAACGTCGGGGAAATTGGGAAATCGGGAAATAGGAATAAACTGGCTGGGATCGCGTTCGGTTCGACTGGCGCACGGAAAACGAAAACGAAAACAAAAACCAAGCTGAACGTGAATGGCGCAGCCAACTGAGACTCGCACAATGCAATAAAAACAGTGAATAAAACTAAAAGACAAGAATTAATTTCGCAATAATCACTGCAAACAAATTGAAACCGCGTGTTTTTCGTTTCGCTTCTCCCGCTCTTTTCGTTGCACTCCTCCTCCCACACTCTTCGCCCGATGCAGTTGCGAGTGCGTGTGTGTGCGCGTTCTTAAAATTTAAATTCAATGAATTCGGCAGGCAGTGCAATTAAAGCGCAACTGAAAAACAAAAGTGAATTTACCACGTGCGCCGCTCTCTCGCGTCTTTGAGTTCAGTTGTTGTAGTTGTAGCCGCTTTCGTTTTGTTTTGCTGGCGTCTCGCTCTAACAATTCCCTCTGCCCGATTTACCGTTGCCCAGCCGCCGAGCAACCGGCGTTTGAATAACCCATTGGATTAGGATCCACTAACGGGACACCCACACAAGGACATCAAAATGGTGCAGGTCAGTGAGAGCTCCAATTTGCGATAAGAAATAATCCTTAAAATATAAGATTTTATAACAGGGGTTATCTCAACTTTGTCACTGTTCTGAGTTTAAGATATTTCACTTTCTCAAAGGAACCTCATTCATAATCAATTTAAAATTTCACTGATTTTCAATGATCCGGTACATAAACACAAAAGATGTTAGAAACTGGAAACATTTTACTTTATTTTCTTGTTTTTTTGTTCTGTGACGTTAAGGAAACCCTAATTTTCGATGGCGGGTGTAATATCTGCTAACAGAAAAATCCGAAAAAGGATATCTGCCCAGCTATCCCATAAATTCAGATTTTAAATGTTAGTTAAAAAATGACAATATGACTGATCCTTAAACTAGAGATTTTAAAAATCGAGTTTTTTCTTTTTAACAAATAAAAAAGGATCCTATAAATCCTGGTATTATGTATTATGTATTTTGAACACAATAACAAATATTTGGTTTATATTTATTTTTTACGTCATTACAAACGTGCTTTCGAGAATTTTTTCAAAAAGCGGAGAATGGGAGAGGTCCCTAGATCTTTCCGGCCGACATAAGCTGGAAAATGGTAAAACCAAGATTTGTATAGTAATCTTTTTATATTTTACTAAATGGCTTTGATACTGAAGTCTTAAAACGAAAATTTATAATATGATTTGAAATTTCAAATAAGTCCTTCGTCTATTATGCTAATTATACTTCAAAACCATAACAAAATTCTGACTCGAATATCCCACTAGAAAACGCATGACGAATTTTCAAAAAAAAAAAAAAAAGTTTTACGTTTCTTATACAGTATATTGTTTAATATTCCACCCTGTCACTGACCTTTTGACGCCAACCCCCATAATCCCGGAACGGGACACTAGGACTGAAAATGCACTTTTTAGCGACCATCCCGAGTCGATTCGCGCCTCACCACCCAACTTTAGCCAACCTTAACCCACCCAAAAATCCAACACAACCCCCACTTCATCCCTAGTTGCACTTCCACGAGCGGAAATCAACCACCAAAACGGACAAGTTCCAAAAAATATGCTGTCGCAGGAAAATATGGCTATTAGATTTGGTTGGTCTTATTTCGATATCGACAGGACGGCCTGTACAGGTCGGCCTACGGACATAAAGCACATAAAACGGTGCATTTAGTCAATTTTCCTTCCAACAAGGCAGTCGATCTAAAAAGGAAACTTAAATATGATCGACTGATTGGCATTGCAGCTTGCTGACACCCTGTATTGAAGCATAATTTTACAAGTAAAGAGAATAGTATTTTAGAAAATAAATCTATTTTGATTTTACTAAGTTTGATATTAATAATATGAGACTGTTTATAATGTTATAATATAAGATGATTTATTTGGAAAAGGTATTAGGGTGTTTATTAAGATGTTAACAGCTCTTTTTATAATACATAATTTAGGAAAGTATTGAAATTGCTTTTTGAAAAATGTTGTATAAATGTTTTATAATGCCTTCTCCAGCCGCATATTAAGTATAGTGTGGAAAGAGTTAAGAAAAAAATGTTTTTAATTCCCTGTCCATGGGTCGAGACTCCCCTCTTGGTACCCTGCAATCAGGCCCATGTGGAGAGACGAACACCTGCCGCCGTTTCCCCGCGCCAAATGAGTGGAGTTCCACTTTTCGATTTGAAATGCGTTTTGCGCCTGCCCCAACCAACTGTCCACCCAGGACCTCCTCCGTCCACCCAACAGCCTCCATCCACATGGTCGTCCAAGCGCTTTTTACCCATTACCCATTTGCATTTGCCGATGGCCGGGCCGAGGAGTAGGTCCTTGGTCCTCGCATGGTGGGTGGTGGGTGGATGTGGGTGGTTTCACTGCGTTTAGCACAGCGCTTTGGCCTGCGTTCAATAGCCAAAGCGAACGAACATTTCTGACGTTTGACCGAACTTTGTTGTTGTTCCAGTTGCTGCAAATGCAGATGCAGTTGTAGCTGTAGCTGTTGCTGTAGATGTAGATGCAGCTGCATCAACTGCCTGCTCCGTTCCTGTGGCTAATGGTAAACTGCCGGGTTGGAGCAGGAGGTGGGGGTAATAGGCACATTTGTGCCCCAAACCCACTCTCCACCCATGGCAAATGCAAGCCAGTCTCTTATTTTGTAACTCCGTGCGCCAACGAATGTCAAAAGCACAAAAATTTCAACGAGGATAACAGACACGCACGCATGCTAATCAGGACAATTAAGTTAAAAGCAGTATGGATGCATATGCCCGGGTGTGTCCTGTGGAGATTTCAGCTTAAGTTGGAAAAGCATTAAGTATTGGAAAAGGATGTCGATTGATTATAAGGGAAAATCATTCATTTCCGACTTTTAAGTGCACCTTATTCTTAGTCCTGATTCAAAGTGTGTTGCATACCTGAAGGGCAATTACGAAGATTTAATTAAAGGAATCCATATTGGCACGGGGTCACAGGTCTTTGATTTTCGAAAGCGAAATGGGTATAAAAAAAAGTATTCACCTATACTGTTTTTTCTGTAGATTTGATTGAGCTGCAATCTCACTATGCTTTTCTCTTGGATATTGGAATGTTGCTCTAAAAATAGCCCCCTTGAAATTGAGAAAAATTTTCTTGTTTTCTAAAGAAAAAGTAGTAACTGACCGAGTTTAAATTCCATAAAGAATCTTTATAAATGTTTATAGCCTAACGTTGGAGAGTGTCGATTTTTTCAATTTATCCACTGCTAAAAATTCAAAATTTTTTTATATTTTCATATTTGATAAGTTATCATACATTGGATTAAAGAAATTATTTTTATTAATGGTATCAAGGGATCTTACACTTTATTTATAATTAACCAAAAATGTATTAGGTAGCTTAGTGGCAATCGAACATTTTAAAATTTGTAAGCAAAATACAAACATGAACAACTTGTTTCTTTCAGTCTGCTGTCAATTCATGATTCTCGTTTATGAGCCTTCTTGTACTGTTTAGAAGCTTGCTAGCAGCCTTTGCCAACACATTTCCTTGCCAGAGAAACACTTTGACTGCCACTCTCAATCGTCGCCACCCATCGACCACCTCCTCTTCGAAAAAGGCAACTTATCCTGGCAAATGGAAATTTCTCGTTTGCCTCCTCATTTCGATTCAATGGCTCGACTACCAGTCCTTCGTTTTTGATGTGCTCTGTTTAGATCCCTTAGTCTTGTACTGGAATGGACTCTTTCAACTGTGTACTTCTATTGATCGCGGAGGCTGCGTTCGGAGTTTGAGAAACGGAGATTACGGTATAAGGTGGTCACCGAACTCTTGGGGGTTACACAAGAAACTTGGCTGCTTGAGGACCGCATGCGAGTCTCCCTTCTTCTATTAGGATTCAACTGAAGCCGCTTGTTCAGGCAGTTCCAAGTGGAGGGTCGATTTAACAAGTTCGATGCTGCAGAGCAGCACTCACAATTAAAGGAGTTTACATTCCCCTCGTCCTGTGGCTCCTGCTCCTCGTTCTGGGAAAATCGCGTGCTGAGTGTATTGAAACTGCCATTTCCTTCGGATAAAAAGGGTTCATGATATGAATGATCAATGCCACCGCCTATAAATCTGTTTAAAACTTGCGGTTGATACGAATGTTCTCGCTGGTGCAACAATTCACGATAATCTCTTGAATCTTCTTGGTAACGAACGTATTTGGACCTCAACCAGCTAATCAGCCAGTAAAGTTCCGGCCAGGGAATGAGCAGTGAAATACAGACACATCCAAAGGCCTTGTGATCCGAGGCGGTGAGGATCAGGCAGTAGGATGTGGTCCTCAAGAAGCGATGGTGCAATCGACGCAGAAGCGAACGCTCCCATAGAAAACATAAACGCTGGCAGGCGGATTGGGTCAACCAGGCACCGCCCATCAAAGCCAAGGTCATCATAGTGGGTCGCTCTTGTAGGACCTGCTTGAAAATCCCTTTCAGGGTTCTCAATCCTAGGGATTGCTCGCTGTCAGATGATATAAGGGTAACTCCAACCACCACCACGCCTGCCAGGTGAGCACCCACTGCCGCTGCGGAGCAGTAGAAACCGAGCAGGGAATCCGCCAGGTGGGGAGTACTCATCCACAATACGAGGGCAAAGATGAACTGTGCCACCCGCTCAAGGTCGCATCCGATCTCCTCCAGCGTGAGCTCGAACGGTTCGTTGGTGTAAATGCCATAGCATGCGTAGGAATGCGAAGGCAGTGGAATGATCCGAGGCTCCACCGCTGGAGATCCCAGTGGTTTGCCTTCGTAGCATTCATTCATCTGTCGATGTGCCTGGTAGACTTCCCGAATTGTGCTCCCTTTGTACTGATTGTAATCCCCGCCAGCGGCTATCTTCAAACGCAGGCGGTTGCTCTGAAAGACGTTCCAAAAGCTCAGGGATGTGGGTCGCTGGCAGTAGACCTGCACTTGGTTGTGGATGTACAGCATGTTGAGCAGCGTCTGTCCGTCCTGGATGTGTGGCTCACCAGGACGCAGATAGGTCGCCTGATGCTCGTGGAACCCGTCATCCTGGCTGGAGATCAAGGATGACGTATTAAGCAGCCCGAGGACCACAAAAACGAGAAGTGAGATCCACATTATATAATCCAGAGGTTAAAAAGTTATTTTTTTTTTGTTTAGATATTTTTTCCAGATTTTTAGATTTCGGGAACCTGCCTTTGGAGGTAGATATGGTTTACTGTTTAAATATATGGTCGACAAGTTCTGTTATGTCAGTTTTTGCAGGTGGTTCCTATGGTTATTCACTCATTTCTATGATATTTTCAACCGACTACTCCATAGCTCATGTTATAAATATTTCAATAATAATAATGGAAGGTTTCCGTTTCTCCATATTGATCCTAATCCTATTAATTTAACAGTATGATGTATGATTATTATCCCATGTAATTATATTCCCAATAACTCTAAAATAGGTTTTCAGTTTCTCCAGATTGATCCTATACATATTAATTCAATAGTAATAAGAACAAATCTCTATATTATATTATAATATTTTCAATAACACTAAAGTGGTTTATGGTGGGTTTTAACATGTAATACCAAACTAAGATGCTAATCTACCGTTCATTTTGAAATTTATGGCAAAGCACCTTTAAGATACTAAAGTTTCATAGCTGGGGGAATATTGGCCTACGAAAATATCTCAGGCCCTCTAAGCTTCCTTTTCCCATTCAGTTTTTTTTTGGAGAATACTCGAATCCTTTGTGCCCCATTTTCCTTCAATTTTTCGTTGTCATTCCTTTCCTACGTCTTTCGTTCCATTTCTGTGCGATTCCATAGCGCTTTTTTTTGTTTCTGGACATGTTGCGTATGGGCTGATGACTGACTTCGTACCACGCGTACTAACTACTACGAAAGGGACATGGGGTAAAAAATCCTACTACAAGTGTGTACTACCACCGAAACCCCATTTTTTTCGCCAAAAGTCAGGGGCAACAAAGAAGAGCAGGAAACAAAATAAAACTCGGCGCTGGTTCTATCAAAGTGGAAGTCGCGGCCTGCAAAGAATATAAAAGCGAACCCGAGTTTCGGTGGAAAAAAATGAGGAAAGTCTCAAAGAAAAAAACAGTTAGGAAAAGCCGGGAAAGGAAACTGGGGAAAAGCAGAAATCCCCACACAAAGTGGCAAACGGGAAAAACAACAAACACGGCCAGCAAGAGCAACTGAGATGGCAGATAGACACGTGATATGTGGGAAAAACGAAAGAACAGAGCAGCATGCTTTTTTGCATTATGGCCAAAAATCGAACTGGAATTTCTGCAATTTTTTTCGCCTCCGTTGTTGCTTTTGGGCCAACTCGGCTGTGTGGCTATCATTGCGTTCGTTTGGAACGCACAGGGGGGGGTTTTTCTTTTTTTGGTTAGGTAAAGAGGGTGGTGGGTGGGTATGGGAGACTGCCGGTGGCCTCATGCATTTTCCGTGTTTCGTATTGTGCGCAAAATAAATTGGTAAACAAGCGAGCAGGCCAGAAAGAGATGGGCCCAGAGAGAGCGAGCGAGAGAGAGAGAGAGAGAGAGGGGGGGGGGGGAATGTCCTGGTCAATGGCGATACATACACGACATCCGGATCGTACATAGTCCCCAGTGCAGTTGTGTGCAGGTCCTCGTATTCCTCCCGTTTTTCCGACTGCATTTCACTGAGTGCTGCTCACCCACTCCCACCCATTCGCCCGCTCTCTCTCTCTCTCTTTGTCGCTCTCTGGTGAATTGCACTCTGTCCCTCAGCTGCCACGACCTCCTGACTCCCCTACGCTGCCCCCTTCCACCCCCCTTGCCGTCTACGCCCCTTTTTTTATATTTTCTGGCCACCGAAATAGGCTGCGTCGCTGTCGCTGCCGCCATTTTCGCCAGCTTCGCCGTCCACGTTTCCATTCGCACCCCCACGTCCCAACTCCCTGAAATTTTTGACCCCCCTTCCAGGACCACCCTCTTGCCTACGCCCCTCCACTCGCGCCTTTTCCCCACGCATGTTTTGCAGCCGTTGTCGTTGTTGTTTTTCTGGTCGCTGCATTGGGTGGCATTTTTCGAGCACTGCCTTTTGTGCACAGTGAGCCAAACAAACCATCTGTCATAACAAAAATACCTTCCTAACTAGATTACTCCCTTGAGTTTTCAGTGTGGCTGTATCGTTGTACCATGGTCCTGCAGGAGGGTCACACTGGTATAAATCTTAATCTCCAAATCGTTTTGAAAGAGTTTATTATAAAACCAATAAGAGAGCATACAAGCCGATCTGACCACTTTAAGAAATATGTAAATTTTAGGACTTAAATTATTGTATTGAAATATAGGCTGTTAATACCTGTAAAGAATATACCATTTTAAAATCTTTTGGTTCTAAAAGTTACGTAGTATTATATTAATAACCACCAGCCTACCGACATAAGCTTTGTGATTTGAGAAGTATGGATATAAAGAATTTGAATAGAATATGTGAACTATTATGAATAGCTGTTCAAGTTTGTTTCAAAGAGTGGACAGTCTCAGTATTTATGAAAAGTTGAATACAATACGACTTTTAAGAAATTAACGATTATTTCGTGTTTTTTGTTCCCTAAATGAAATAATATATTAAATGTAGGGCCTAGCAGGACTTATAGGTACCCGATTTATTGATATTTTTCCAAAGACGAGTATTAGTTTTTATTGCAAGGTTATCAACATAATAAAAAAGTTAAAGTAAATAGTATTAATATACAGACTTAGTTTTCTGGATCTTTAAAATATTAAATTTACTAACACGTGTATTTTCTTTATTTTAACCTGATATCTCTATATATTACGAAAATATAAATTTACAAATTTTTTAATTTAAAAGATATACTTTAAATTAATTTAATTTATTTTACTTATTTTTCTTGCAGGTAAGGAAATGCATTAACTTAGCCCACTGTGGCAACCCAATCAGCAGTGTTGGGCCATATAAAACGATTGAAACACAGCGCGACATTTCTGTTGCTGTTGCCATTGCTGGTGTTGTTGCTGTAGCTGCTGATGTTGCTGCTGCTGCTGCTGCAGCAACCTGATGTAGTTGCTGCTGCTGCTGTTGCTATGTGTGCCAGGCAAAAGGCCAAACGCATGTGTGGCCAGGACCCAGCTGCCTCCTCGTGCTCTGCCGGATAGGAACTCCGAGCACGGGACTATATAGGGAGCAAGCGAGAAGGATACTGAAAATCGAACACAATACTCGGGCGAGTGAATGCAACGACGACGAGCCTATGTATAAAGGCTTCCATTTGCACATGAGAGCAAAAACCAAGCCTGGCTGTGTGTGTTCTGGATATGTGGGTGGAGGTGGGCGGACGGACATGGGTGGAGATGGGTGGCACGTGAGGATGGGGGGAGATGAGTGGGCCTACCCTACGCATCGGTAGCTGGACTGGTAGCCACCTCAAAAGCGGCAAACGCATCGAATGCGCATCGAATCGAAGCCCAACGTTGATTGTATTATATTGGCAGAGTTCAGAGCATGCTCCCCACCCACCTGAATCCAATACCAGTACCAATCCCGATTCCTGCCACCCACTCGCCATAACTCTGGTTGTCCGTCAGACATCAGTTGAACGGCGTGCACTTAAATGCCAGTGGGCGAGTGAGTGTGTATCTACTATATGCGATGGGATGTGATGTGAGGGGGCTGCCTGCCCCCCTTAGGCACACATGCAGCAAATTGAATAAACTCCCCAAATCAAATTTTTCTCCATTTTGCCGAGAGAAAGAACTTTGACTGACATGCAGCAGAGTGTGTAGGCGATGCCATCTGTGTGTATCTTAGCCATTTAAAGGGTCAATGAAATGCAAAAGTCGGCAATGATTTGGGGTCCTTTTCAACTGTAGAGCCCAGCGAACTGTTTTCCCCTTCGAGCTTAATTGTGTCATCTTTCATTTTGATTGCCAGATGGTTTTGTATTCAAGAAATATTGCTCCTCGTTCGTTGCCTTATTTTATTTAATGGACATTACTTATGTTTACCGAATAGATTCGCCGAGATAGAACAATACTTGCACGTTCACTTTCTATAGAATATGAAAAACTGCAACCTTTAACGAGTTCTATAATGATTTTTAGGGGGAGAGATAGTAACTACCGTAAACATCAAAATAGATAATTTAAAAGTAGCCACTATCGTTACATGTTTGTTATTTAGGACTGGGGATCTCAGACGATATGTTAGCTAGACTTATTGTTCTCTAAGGAACCATCTTAATTTCTTTGCAACTAATTTTTACTTATGCCTTTCTTACACGTATCCATCTGTAAACCTTTTCCGCAAAGTCTGCACAAATGTTTAACTATGTTTGACCTTCCTCCAGGTGAATGCAACTTTTTAAACTTTCCCTGGGGAGCACCAAACACATGACTTTAAGATTCCCTTTGTTCCAAGGCAAATTACATTTAAATATTTACACTCTTCCCTTAGAATTTGAGTGTTTGTTGTGTCTGGCTCACTCTTTGCGAATAATCATGTGTGTGTGAGTTTTTGTGCTGAGTTGGTTCAACTTGTGTGAAGGTCAAATTACGAGAGCATTTTACTAACTTTTCAATTCCCCCTCCTTCTATCGCAAAATTTAAGGCCAAAAATGTTATATGTGCATATATATGTGCATGAAATGGGTCAAAAGTTGTAACAACATTTCCACTAGTCTAGAGGAAGTGTTAATTTGGAGATGTGGGAAGTGATGGGAATATGAAAGTTTTTGCTTTTGAGTTTGTTGAAATGGTTTGGGTTTTGGTTTTATTCTTGTTCAAAGTTGAAACCATTTTTAGCCAAAATTGTTTTGGCAGTCGACGCTCGAGAAAACTTTTCGGTTGCCTACTTTCGGGCACCTTGACCTACTCATGCAACTTTGTTTGTTGTCAAAAACGTTGTTTTTATTGGTCTTTGTTGCTGTTGTTGGTTGTGGGGCATCCCCAGAAAAAGACTCGTCTGGGTGTGCCAGACGGGGAAGATTCACCAAAAAGTTTACTTCACTCTCTGTGTAATGGAAATAATTTAAAATTGTAAAACAAGATATGTTATATTATAATAACTAATGCACTCTGAAAGGGTTGCTTTTATGCAAAATTAATCATTCTGCTAAAGGGAATCACTTAGAAAGATGGCTATAGCCTCAAAAATAATTACCGACTTAGGATCTATGATTAAGGCTTTTAAAATGTACTGGAAATCACACGTTAATATAC